AACTTTGAAGATAAAGAATGAGCCTATAAAGTATAACCAATTAGTGGAAACAAATGAGATAACTTGAGGCAGAGATTAGTATTGAATAATGAAGACTAGATAATAATACATTAATTAGTCGAAATTGGACAGGAAAGTATTTTGTCATAATAGATAAAATCACCATATGACGAATTTGGAAGAGGCTCATAATCAAATAAGAAATTACAACACACGGAACAAGGAGATATTTGATATTCAATATCGACAAGGGTCTCAAATTAAACAATTCAGCAACAGTCCTGCTATGAACAAATGAACAATGTAAATACAATAAATAACAGTGAGACAATAAAAGTAGAGAATCGATACCTCGTCTTTCGCCTTCATCGCCTGTTCAAACAGGGATTGGTCGCGTGCTAAATTTGCTTCCAAGAGAGGAATTTCATTCTTTGTCAAATCGTCGAGCTAAATTAAAGGGAAAATCAAGAGATTTGATGGTTTAAGTATAGATAAAGGTGAGGAGCAAATATTTGATATAAGAAAAGCAAGGTACCTGTTGGCTGAGAGGCTTCAATTCCAACAAGGCTTCGTGTTTACGCACAAGATCATCAAGTTCATTACGCTTACGCTCAAACTCCAGAGGTAGGCGTCGTATGCGCTCGTTGATCTAAGGGTGAATAAAATACTATTGTGTAAAGTAAAAATGCAAGAGTGTAGAAGAGAGTTTACATAGTTGACAAAAACTCGAAAGTTAGAAAGGTTAAAATAATGCAGCACTTAGAATAGCCGTCTTTAAATCAACATCTAGGCAGTAAATGGTGAAAGTAAAAGATCAGTCCAGACTAGGCATTTACAACTAGTGCAGGATAGGAATGGCAGTACCATTAGCTAGTTATATAAATTGTAGTTGTTTGACCTGGTTTTCGCAACTTCGTAGAATTGGCAGGAAAAGCTAGAGGAAGGCACCTCGTCCGGAGTCCATAGTATGCATTATAATTTACAGTCGGATAGTGGACTTCAAACAATTCCCAGACGCTTCGTCGACATCGTCAGTGAGGCTTGCCAAAACTAACACTACACTAAAACTCGTCAGAGACAATGAAAGTAAATCCCTCGACTAAACGCTCGGCTCTATCACAACTTATGACTCTTTACATTCCACTCGTCAAAATGTGTGTCCTTGATTGAGAAATTTCGTGTGGCATCATCGCACCTGCAATTCAACTTGAAGTACTCTCTTTCGATCGGATAATCAGTCTCGGGCCTCCTATCCGGATCTCCCTCATAATGTCGTAGATCCGTTTCTTATCTTTCTGCCTGACGGATTTCACTCGGTTCCAGTCTGAGTGTGCGTTTTACTCCAGGCGCTATTTATCAAGTTTAGAAGCAAGTACACTGCCGCCTCATCGAGCAGAGCGCCTAGGCTTTGAGTACCATGATTGCAGATATCAGAAATTGACTTCGCAGATCGTCTCCTTGATCGAACCTGTGGACGCCTATCTCTGGTCGCATGTGGCATATCAAGTGGATTTCTAGTACAATTTGGCCATTATGTCAAATTTCAATGGTGGTTATGTTTTTCCGTCTGACTAGTTTCCTGAATGCCATGCCCAAAGTTGTACTGGTTTCTTCGAACAGAGACCACTCACTGATAACGTCTTAGTTTGATTGTCTAAATTTCTTTGGTCTTAAGAGACTCTACCATTCGGATAAAGTGAATGGATTTCTCCATCAGGCTTCTACACAGAAATTAAGTGAAATTTATGATAATGAAGTGACAAA